CCGAGTCCCATCTCAGCTACCAGCCGTGGTGGGAAATGGAAGCATTAGGTCATCGGGAAAGTCATGACGTATTTTTCTATGTAAAACGTGCCGTGATTCTTCTGATGACCCAATAGCTTACTGTGGGGGAGGAAGGTTGAAGGGTGGGGAGGCAGAAGGGAGGCAAGGGATTACGGTCACTGGAGAAAAAAGTCAGTGGACAAGGAAAACATCTGTTCCGAAAAACGTCATACAAACAACAACAAAACCGGCTTTGAGTAAGCCCCTGGACCCAGGGAATGCCCCCTCCCTCACCCTCCACCCCACCCTGCAGGGGTCAAGAGGCTGAGATTTTACCCTGCTTTCCTTCTGCACCTCATTAGGGCTTAACCTCCAGGCCCTCAAGGAAATGAGGAGAAATAGGGCTCTAGTCCTTTGTTGATTACAAAGCTAATGCTCTCTGGTGCACTGCCTTCCTCTGGGGGCTTCTCTCACACTCTCAGCCACCACCAACACCCCTTGTCCGGTCTCCCTCGGCTCTGCTGGGGGTGGCAGCAGCCAGAGGTGGCAAGGATGGGCTTGTCCGGGACTGCCTGCTCCATCCATGCTGTGGGACAGCTGGCAGGGCAGGCCACCCACCAGGTCCAGCTCACCCCACTCAAAGCTGCTCTGTTTGTAAAGGCCTTTCGGGGACAGGAAGCAATAAACAGAGTCAGGCGGCCAAGAGGCAGGGGCTGATTATGCAGTGTATGGATTTTCCAGGCCTCTTTGTATTCTCCCACCAGCTGCCTGGGGCTCTGCAGAAAAAGGTGCTGGCGAAGACCTGGTTCTTGGCTTTACAGGTGGCCTTTTGCCAGGACTCACTGGGTCTTTCCAAGTGGGTGAAGGGACTCTTTGCCTCCAGGGCCCCACAAGCCACCATGGAGAACAACCCCTGCTCCCAGTACTACAGAGCTCAGCCTGCTAAAGGCTGCAACTTCGCACACTCACACACACACACTCCAGCTCCTGCCAGCCTCCCCACCTGCTCCTGTGGGGCTCAAAGTTATTCCCAGAGGGAGGCATGCCTGGCTGCAGAGGCCACTGGGTGGCTCTCCCTTACGATGCTGCTCCCAGCTCAGGTGAGTTTAGCTGCACTGGAGAGCAACTTGGAGAAGCTGAGGCTGGTAGGGAAGGTGGCTCTGGACTGGATGGCCTCCCAGAGCCAGGCTCAGCTCACATTCCCCTAACAGGCTGCCACATGATGAAACAGTAAGCCCATGGCTGCAAAGCCACACATTTAGGCTAGTCTAGGACAGAGGACAGGCCCAGCCATAGGGGTATGTGCTGTGCACCACAGTCTGGGATCATATGGGAGACCTGGGTTCAATTCCCAGTCCAACCTAATGGTCAGGTGCAGTGGTGTGTGCCTGTGATCCTGGTGACTTAGGGAGACTGAGGCAGGAGCATTGTGAGCTCAAGACTGGCCTGGGCAACAGAGCAAGAGCCTATCTACAAAAGCCGCACAGTGGCATGTACCTGTAGTCCCAGCCGGGAGGCTGACACAGGAGGAGCTCAACATGGAGAGACCCTGTCTTAAGGAAAAAGAGGAGCAAGCGACCTCCTCGTCTGTCAATGCCCAGTAAGCAATAAATAACACAGAGCACGTCCACATGCAGCCAAGTGCCCAGGTGTCGATGTGGAATCATACAGAGAAACCGACCCAGGGCCGTGTGCACATCACACCATGGCTAAGATGTCTGAGTGTCCGTATGTCTGTTTGGATATGCACGGGAAAGCTGTCTGAGCACATGTGCACCAGATATGGAGCAGCACGCCTATGAGGCAGGGTTGTGCGAGGGGGGCTTTTGCTGCTCACTTCATGTACCACTGCATCCTTGGAGGGTTTTATAATAAATGTGCTTTATTTCTAGAGTACGAATTTAAAACATAAAGTACATATTAGTAAAAATGTAAAATGATACAGGCACTGTGTAAACCAGCCTAGTGGTTCCTTAAAAAGACAAACACAGGTGGTGTGAAAGTTAAGGCACTGGGTTCCAAATGGCCAACTGTATGGTTTGAGTCTTAGACCTCGTGTCTTGAAAGTCGCACCTGCCACATGTACATGCATGCCCAAAATTCCAAGAGGAGACCCGAAGAAAAGAAATCACAGCATGGCCACCCCCCCACGCCATCTCTCTCTGGCAAGCGCACAAATCCTACAACAAAGAAAAAGTCAGACACCAGAAAGTGGCATGGTGGTTAAGGTGCTGGACTCCCACATGACTGACCGTGGTTTGAGTCTTGAACTTGAAGGCTTGCTTTTTCACTTCCCCCTCTGTCACTCTCTCTAGTAAGCACATGTGCCCTGTAGCAAATTAAATAATAATAATATTATTAAGGGACCAGCAGATGGCATATGGTTATGTTGTTGGACTCCCACACAGTCAATCACAGTTCAAGTCCCAGACCCAGTGGCTTAAAACTCACACCGGGTGTGTGCATACACACCCAAAATCCCAAGAGGGAAATGGAAGAGAGCGGATTGCGGTGTGGCCACCACCACCCCCGGAGGTGATTTCTTGCTTTTTGTCTCTCTGTCTTTATGGCGAGCACACATGTCCTATTGCAAAAAAATCTCTCAAAAGCAAAACAAAACAAATAATACAATTAAATAATTCTTTTTCTTTTTAAAATTTTTTAAAAGAGATTTTTGCTGTAAGGTGCATGTGTTCATCAGAGAGACAGAGAGACAGAAAGCAAGAAATCACACCCCAGGAGGGATAGCCACGCCACAATCCCTTCTCTTCCATTATCCTCACAGGATTTTGGGCATGCACGCAGATGCGCCCAGTATGAGTTTTAAGTAGCCATGTCCAGGATTTGAATGGCAGTTGACTACATGGGAGTCCAGCAACATAACCATTACACCATCTGCTGGTCCTGAAAAATTAAATAAATGGTACTTAAAGAAAAAAAAAAGTTAAACAGAATTCCTATATTATCCAGTAAGTCCACTCATGGGTGTGTGCCCACAGAATGAAAACGAGGACTCAAATAATTGTGCACTGATGTTCACTGCAGTTCTTTTCTTTTTTTTGAAGAGATTTTTGCTATAGGGCATGTGCGCTCGCCAGACAGAGAGAGAGAGAGACAGGGAGACAGAAAGCGAGAAATCACCCCCCCCAGGGGGGATGGCCACGCCTCAATCCCTTCTCCTCCATTCTCTTCTCGGGATCTTGGGCACGCACGTACCTGCACCTGGTGTGAATTTAAGCCACTGGGTCTAGGACTCGAACCGCGGTCGACTACATGGGAGTCCAGTGACATAGCCATTACACTAACTGCTGGTCCCCTTGCAGAGTTCTTCATGACAGCCTATTAGTGGAAAAATCCCAGTGTCCATCAGCAGATTAATGGATAAATAAAATGCAGTATATATATTCGGAATGTTGAACTATTCTTCAGCCACAAAAAGGAATGAAAATCTTATACATGCTACAACATAGAGGACCCTCGAAAATGATATGCTAAGTTAAATAAGTCAGACACAAAAAGACAATTATTGTAGTATTCCACTGATGTAAAAGACCTTGAATAGACAAATTCATGAAGACAGAAAGAAGAATTAACGTTTCCAGGGACTGAGGAAGGGGAGAACGGGAATTATCCGGGTGGGCTCCAAGTTTCTGTGTGGTTTTAACTAACAAGGTCTACTGTGGATGATGGTGATGGTTGCACGGCAGTGTGAATGTGCCTAACGCCACCGAATTGTACATGCTGTGATGTGGCGTGAGGGTTAAAGTGGCTGACTCTCACATGACTGACTGTGTTCTGAACCCCAGACCCCGCAGCTTGAAAAACACACTGGATATTTGTGCGCATGTGCCCAAAATCCCAGGAGGAGAATGGAGGAGAAGGGGTTGCAGTGTGACCATCCCCCAGGGGAGATTTCTCACTTGACCACTCTGTGTCTCTCCAGCAAGTGCATGGACCCTATAGCAAATAAAAGAAAGAAAAGAAAAGGAGAAAAGAAAAGAAAAAGGGGAAGAGAAAAGAAAAAAAAAACATGCCAAGCATGTGTGCATGCATACCCAAAACCCAGAGAGGAGAAAAGGGAGGAGAGGGATTGTGGTATGACCCTTCCCCATGGTAAAAAGGTGCTTTCTAACTTTTCCTCTTTCTCTGTCTCTCCCAAGCAAGCACACAGACCCTCTAGCAAATTTTTGAAAAAGTGGTTAAAATGGTGGATTTTATGTTATGTGACAGGGGGCAAGAGGGAGCTGGAAAAGGCGAGGTAGACACAAACCAGGCTCAGTGAGCGCAGAGTCAGAGGCAACGCAGTGAGTCACAGGCAGAAGGGGGCACTCCTTGCGCTGTTCAGAGAGAGAGCCACCAGAGCACAGGAAATCCTGGCCTGCACAGAGGAGCTCTGTCCCCATCTGCACAGAGTGGGCCAGGACACAATGACAGCCCTGTTGGTGAGCACTGTTCAGATGGCCTGCAGAGTCACGCATGCCACAGGGCTGGGGGGAGTGGTGGTGCAGGGGCGCTTTCAGGACATTTGGAAGGGCTGGATTATGATACGGTTAGGAAACAGCTATTTTAAAAGGTTAGTGTGCTGCAAAGCAAAGCAGGCCTCTGAGAGCCCTGGCCAGTGGGGAGGGAGGAGGAGAGGGACTAGAGGTGGGAAGGGAGGAAGAGGCCGAGATCTAGAGAGAGCCTCAGCCCAGTCTCTTAGAGAGTGCTCTGCCAGGCAGAAGTCAGGCATTCCACTGGCAGGGCAGTGTGCCAGGCAGGGGAAAGCTGGGCGATAGAGGGCGATCCCATCTGGAGAATCCTTCAATGCATCGCCAGTTCCCCTACCTACGTTACTCAAAAATAAATGCATATGTAAAACACCAGAGACAGCATCGTCCCAGAGCCTCATCTACTGTAACTGGGGAAGACCAAGGACTGCAGACAGGGACAGTTAATCCCCAGCGGAGAAGCCCTCCCATCTCCTCCTGGGCAGGCAGAGCTCTGGTGTGACCTCTTACCGCCATGTCTTCATCCAAGATCAAAGCTTTGGCCTGTCTCCTGTGAAACTTGACACCCAGCGAGAAGCAGGAGTCCAGCTGGGGGCCCTGGTTTTGTTTCAACACTTGCAAGGCTCTGGCGCTCAGTACCAGTGCAGAAAAGGCCATCCTGGTCAGGAGGAAGGGTGTTCGTAGCAGTAGCATCTAGCATCGCAGGGCTCCTCCACCCTCCCCTCTCCTGGGTGTGCCTGGACCTCTCCAGAGTTATGGGAAGGACTCAAGAGAAAAGGACAGCTCAGGCGGCTTACGTGTGTATGTGCGTGGGGTCTGGGCAAGGTAAGTGCTCATTAAGATGAAAACGTTGTCTCAAGGAATGGGATAGTCAGGCTAAGGCAATGAACTGAAAGGGGTTCTAACACCCCAGATGACAATTGAGAGGTCCTATAGTTCTGAACTAACCAGAGAGAGAAAAAGACAGAGGCCCCTCCCACCCATGCAACACACGACATATCTGAAACATCTGCATTCCTAACTTAAAGAATTCCTTAGGAATTTCCCCATTTGAGTCAAAGCAGCAAGACCATTTTTCCCGCAGGTTGTCTCAGCTGGAAAGTCAACCACCCCGAGCTGTGAATCTGCCGTTTCTCAAGTGGAAGGGATTGGGGAATGGAGACAGAGCTAAGGGTGGACGTGAGGCAGGATGGAGAGCCACAGGAGGGCCTCTGTGAGCCTGGCTTCTAGCTGGTTCTGCACGTGGCTCCTAGAGCAAGTTCTTTTTTTTTTTTTTTTTTTAAGAATTATGTATTTAATGTTATTTATCATTATCTTTTTATTCACCAGAGAGAAACAGAGAGGGGAAAAGAGAGAGAGAGGGAAAGTGAGAAAGTAAGCCAAGCAGCCAGGTCTGAAACTTGAACCACAGTCAGCCATGTGGGAATCCAGCATCTTAACTGCCATGCTACCTGCTGGCTCTCCCCTCAAGCACCTTTTAACTTTCTTTCTTTTTTTTTTTTTTTTCCATCCAATAAAATGCAGAAAAATGCACATAACACATATAAGCTTGGTGGGTTATCATAAAAAAACACCTACAAGTAGCAAGAAACAAAACTTTGCCTGCCACTTCAAAATCCTCTCCATGTGCCGGCTGACTTTTCAGCAATCACTTCCTTGCACTTCTTTCTCACTCAAACATCCATCCCTAGACACTGTACTTCCACCTTGCCATTGTGTCTCTTTCAAGTCCATTTTAATTTCCTGCTACCCCCTCCATCCCTTTCTTTTCCTTACAATGTGTATGGTGAGAAACAAGCTTGCTCAACTATAGCCTTCCCCATAGTCTGAAGTTCACAGAACAAGTTTCCTTTTCTCTCTGACTCTCAGGTACCTCCTCTGCGCAAACACAGGGGCTCCTGTGATGACAAAAACAGAGAACCTGAATGCTCATAGGAAAATGCTTATGATATTTTGTTAAGCAAAGACGCAGGATGCAACTCGATATTTACGGTGTGCTTGCAACTAACTATACAACAATTAAAAGGACCACGGGCTCAGCAGTAGCACAACTGGACCAATGTGGGAAGGTCCAGAGTTCACATCCCAAGACCTCTCTCCACGTGCTAGGTGTGTGCACAGGACCTGAGCTGCCTGGAACTGGGGTGCATTACTGCATGGGGGCCCTATTAGGGGTACCTGCCTCTCTCATTCTCTCTCTCCCACACACAAGGAATAAATAAATGAAAACCAACTGGAAAGAGAGAAAAATAAAGAAAAAGTTTAGTGGAAAAAAAAGAAAAAGACCAAAGGACCGGAAGGAAATATGCTAACATCTCAGTCCTTGTCCTGCATGGTGGAAGTCTGTGCGTGCCCCCTCCTCTTTCTCCCTTTCTTATATTTTTCCAAAACTAGCACATCGTAATGCGTTCAACAGGACACAAGTCTTCTAAAAACATTTAAAGAAAGGACCAACAGATGGCCTAATGGTTATATCACTAGACTCCCATGTAGTCAACCACAGCTGGAGTCTTGGGCCTGGTGTCTCAAAACTCACGCTGGGCGCGTGTGTGTGCGTGCCCAAAATCCCGAGAAAAGAATGGAGGAGAAGGGATTGCGGCGTGGCCACCCCCCCAGGGGGTGATTTCTCGCTTTCTGTCTCTCTGTCCCTCTCTCTCTCCAACGAACACACATGCCCTATAGCAAAAATCTCCCCTAAGAAAAAGAAGTGCTCTGAAAGCATGGCATGAGACCCAGTGTCACTAGGGCTGCACACCCTCCTTCACAGTGCCCTGGCTTTCTGGTCCCACGGAGATCCCCAATCCAGCTGAGGCCCTCAACATCCCAAGCCTGCTTCCCTGCTTGTCTCCTAGCTGGTCTTCCATCTTCCACCATCTCCTATGCCACCAACAGAAGAAGGTGCCACGTCACTTCCCAGGTCCCCAGTCTCTCATGTAAATATCACATCCCTTCCTCTGCATTAGTGGTCATCACATTCAATGAATGTCACAATCACCCAGATGGATGACTTATGAGACACACCTTGCTGGGCTCTGCCCCAGAGTTCCCCATTCCCTAGGTCTGGGGTGGGGCCCAGGAATTTGCATCTCAAATAAGTTCTCGGAATATGCTGATGTCACTGGTCCAGGGACCGCACTTAGAGAACACTTGAGTTGTGTCTCTCCTGTCTTCCTAAACAAGCCGTGTCTATCCTTCAGAATCCAGCCTAAGTTCTCCTTTTCCATGACGCAATCTCTGAAAACTCTAGCCAATACTGATCTTCCTCCACCCTTCCAGACCACTCCTAGCATGTAAGGGTAATCTGACTCACAGAGCAAGCGCGCATCAGTGGTCGTAGTGGTGGAGGGTGCAGTCCTTTATCATCTGCTATTTATGTTGGCTCCCCCCATCATATCAACTTTTTTTTTTCTTTGCTAGAAGATGTATGTGCTCATCAGGGAGAGAGAGAGACAGAGAGACAGAGCATGTGAGAGAGAGAAAGTGAGAAAGCACCTCCCATGGAGGATGGCCATATCACAATTCCTGCCCTTCCATTTCTCCTTTCAGGACTTTGGGCATGCACACATATGTACCTGTCAAGTTTTTCAAGCTTCTGGGTCTGGGACTCAAACCATGCCATCAGCCATATGAGATACAGCAATCTTTTTTTTTTAATTAATTTTTTGAGAGGTTTTTGCTATAGGGGGCGTGCATTCGCCAGAGAGACAGAGAGAGAGAGAGACAGACAGAAAGCAAGAAATCCCCCCCCACCCCCAGGAGGATGGCCACGCCACAATCCCTTCTCCTCCATTCTCCTCTTGGGATCTTGGGTAAGCACGCACACGTACCCGGCGTGAGTTTAAGCCACCAGGTCCGGGACGACTACATGGGAGTCCAGTGACATAGCCATTATGCTAACTGCTGGTCCCAAGAGATCCAGCAATCTTAATCACCATGTCACCAGCTTGCCTCCTATCAGCTCTTAAGGCCAGGGACCGGGACAGAGTTCGCAATGACCCCGCAGTATCCAGGAGGCGTTCCACATGTCTACAGTGACTTCAATCTGTCTCATTCACAGGCACCTCAGTGACGCACACAGACTTGTGATTCCTCGCACATCCTTTCAGCGTCAGTCAAAAAACAGAGCACCTACTATATGTCAGGGTGCACAAGAGCAAAACCACATCTCTTCAGACACCAAGAATTACAGCAGCATGAGTTACAGCAGAAGCCTACAGCAAGCAGCCAAACAGCCACCACCCCTGGCCCCAGAGACCGCTACACACATGCAACCTTGGCCCAGATGCCAACGAGCACACACAGCTGCGGTCACACCCTCGTGTAACTATGGTGATGGTTTGGCGAGAGTTGTAAGCTCCACTGTTCCCCTACTAAGCCACCCTCAACTCAGGGACAGGATTTATGGGCAGATGCTGTTAGGAGAACAGATGTCCAGGCAAGCAGGCAGGGCCACTGGGAACAATGGCTGTGGCTGCGCAGGCCTGGGCCTGCCGGAGGGAGGTCAGAAGTGGCTGCCTCTCAATTAAAAGGCCGTAACTGTCTGAAAAGGAGACCTTAGTCCAGTCCTCAAATATGTGGGCATCTAGGCACATAGGCCTTTCCCAAAAAGACATTGTGAGCAGGCTGAAGAGGCCTCGGATTCTGGAAGGCAGACGTTGGCGTCTCCACAACCTTGGACAACTTTTACTTCTTTGAGCTTCACTTTCATTATTTACTAATATTTACTACTCAAAAAAAAAAAGAAAAGAAAAGAAAAGAAAAAGAAAAAGTAGTAAAGCCAAAAAATGAAATGATAAAGATCTTTGAAGGACGAAAGAACAGACTGAAAAGCACACATCGGCAGGGCCAGCAGGTGGTACACTGGTTAAGGTGCTGGATCCCACATGGCCAGCTTCGCTGCTTGAGTCCTGGACCTGGTAGTCTGAAAAACATGCCCAGTGCATGTGTGTGCATGCCCAAAATCCTAAGAGGAGAACGGAAGAGAAGGGATTTCTGTGTGGCTGTCCACCCTGGGGGATGCTTTCTCACTAATCCTCTCTTTCTGTCGCTCTCTGGTGAATGCACACATCCTATAGCAAATTTTTGTAAAAAAAAAAATAGGAAGAAAAACAACAACAATGCCACTATGTAAAAGTGAAAGAAACTGCAAGGACAGCCCCATGGCTTAGTGGTTAAGTGGTTATAGGTCGGCCCCATATGGCCGACCAGCAACTTCAATCCTGGCCCTGATGGCTTGAGTGTGTGCCCCAAATCCTGACAGGATGAAGAGATGGAGAGGGGATTGTGGCCTAACTATGCCCCACTGGGCAGTGCTTCTCTCTCCCCTCTCTGCTTTTCTGTTTCTCTCTGACAAGCACACATGCCCTTTGGCAAAACTTTTAAAAATTGTTTTTAATTAAAAAAGAAAAAGAAAGAAAGAAAGGAAGGAAGGAAGGAAGAAAGAAAGGAAGGAAGAAAGAAATGCAAAGGGACTAGACAGGGTAGGCCCACCACTGCCGAGTGGGGAAATTCTACATGTACACAGCCTGCTCTGGTCAGTGATTCTCCGCTGGAGGGTGCATCTGAATCTCTGGGGAGCTTTTTAAAAACAAAGTCCCAGGCCCCTTACTGAATCAAAATCTCCAGAGATGTACCCAATTCCTGTCCTCCAAACTCTA